GCATCCCTGGTTGAAGAGGTCCCATGTCTACAATGACTTTGTTAATTTCTCTCAGATCATGAACTAATCTCCACTTGTCTTTCCCTGGCTTTTTAATGACAAACACAGGGGAGTTCCAAGGGCTAAAAGTAGGTTCAATATTGCCTTGGGCCAATTGCTCATCTACTAACTCGTTTAGCGCCTTTAATTTCTCTTTACTCAGCGGCCACTGGGGTATCCAAATTGGGGAATCTGTGGTCCATTCTAGTTTCTGGGTCTGGCGCTTCTCAGTGGCCGCAATCAAAAATCCCGAGGTGTTTTCGGAATTTCAATGCGGACTCCCCATTGGGACATGACATCTCTTCCCCACAGGGGAACCTGGAAATCAGTGACAATGGGGCGAATAGATGCTATTTGCCCATCAGGTCCTCTAATCTGAATGGGTTCCTTTGATATCTTGGCCAATTGGGCTCCCCCTATACCTTGGATGTGGCTAACCATCGGTTGCAGTTCCCATTGTGGTGGCCATCTCCTTTCAGGGATGACAGTCACATCTGCTCCTGTGTCTATCATGCCTGTCATTCCCATGCCTTCACTACCTTTTTTCAAATGGCATGAGATGATGGGTTTGTTTTCTCCCACTGCTTGAGCCCAGTAGATCTGAGGTGCTACATCATCTACTGGGATCCCTGATGGAATGGGAATAGCTTGAGCAATTACCTGCCCTTGTGCCAGGTAGAATGGTGGGTTGATGCACCGTGCCAAAAGGATGAGTGCATCCAAGTCAGCTGAAAGAGTGACAGGAGAAATTTCAATCTCTGGGGGTGTGTTTTTTGTGTCCCCAATAACAAGAAACTTACAATTCAAGTCGGGGGTCAGTTTTTCCCTCAGCGGGTCAACGGAAACAACCGTCCAGTGGCGAGACCTAAAAAATTGATCTTTCACAGTAAACAATTTGAGAGGTAATTTTGGCTTCCAAACCTCACAACCATTGGTGTTATTTCGGTGGCAGAAGTCAGACCTGTGAGAAACGTCACATTTAAGAGTGTTATCACATTCAATTTTCCCTCCCCCTGCGACTTCTATTCTACTTGTGTCTCTGCGCGGAATAGACTCGCGCTGCGTATCTAGTTTTTTTGGTTCTGAGGACCCCCTCCCTTTTCCAAGTTTCCTTGCCCTTGCTTGTTAGGATATGGCACTTGGCAGAACTTTGCAAAATGTCCTGGCTGTCCACACCGATGACAGGTGAACGCTCCCTTCGGCTTTGCTGGTGATGGCAGAGTAGGTACAGTTGTGGCTGCAATCCTTCCTGGGGTTCTTTGGGAATCCTCAGTCCTTGGCATTGAAGTGCTGATTACATCCGTACACATCTCGATCAAAGTTGTCAAGGTCGGTGGTGGATCTTTCGGCAGCACCCGAATCAGTGCTTTGCAGGCTTCATTCGCATTCACTCGAGCCATTTCCAACAGCAAGTCAGAGTGCAGGGTGGTATTCTGCACTTGTCTTTCAATCTGTACCTTTAATCTATTCACAAAATCTACAAATCTTTCATCAGAACATTGTTTAACTTGAGCATAGGGAACAACAGATTCAGAAAGAGGAATATTGAAAAATGCTTTCTCTGCAGCCTTCTTTATTTTCTCTCTAACTCCTTTTGGCAAATTTTGGGCTTGGTCAATAGGTTCGCTCCAATCACCTTCACCACATAAATGATTCATGGTAATTATTTTACCCGTTTCATCTAAAGCTTCAAAATCACTGCTCAGTAATTCTCCCAAAAGGGTTTTCAACAATCTTTTCCAAGCCCCTTCCCAGAGCAAATATTCTCCTGGGGATAGAAGGCAGGAAAACAAATCCTTCAAATCATGGGGGACCAATTGGTTGGAGGAGAGGGTTGCCTTTAAAAGACTTTTAAAAAATTGGCTTTCCTTTCCAAACTCTTTTGCTGCTTTGCATAATTCCATTTTCAATCGAAATGACATTGCATTCCATTCTGGTAATGTTCCTCCCCTCCCATAAGTTACAGGTGCTGCAAAGAAGGCAGGCCTCTGTTCCTGGTTTGTCCCTTCACTCCCTCCCTTCTCCACACTGTGTGAGCTGGAGGGAGTGACCTGGGAGCCAGCAGCAGAGAGAGGGCAGGCGGGGTTGCAGGGGGGGTAGGAGGGGTCAGGGGCGGGGTGCCTTGGGAGGGAGACACCCCTGAGGGGTGGGGCGGAGGCAGAGGAGGGAGGGTCTGGAGGACCAGGAGGGGGGAGGTCTTGAGGGAGGAAAGGGTTGAGGGGGGGAGGGGCAACAAAGGGATTGTGGGAAGAAGAAGCAACCTGGGGGTTGACCATGTGCTCGCCACCATTTTGAAGTTCCTGGGCCCTTTGTGTAACACTTGGGGGGAGGCTCACCATGTGGTCTCCTCCATTTTGTGTACCCAAAAGACCACCAGGAACAAGAGGAGAGGGATATTGAGGGTAAAGAGGGGTAGGAGAGGGAGCTGGGATGGGTTTTAGGGAAAGGTTTCCAACAGCTTGGCCAGAGCTCCTGGAACAGGGGTGCTGAGAGGACTCCCCCAGCTTAGGGTAACAGGGTTGAGGTAAAGAAACAGGGTTATCAGGGTTAGGATTGGATAACCTTTTTTCTTCTTTTTCAATAAGGGTTAGTCTAATCAAAACAAACAAATGGATTACTTTCTCTGCTGAACTATCTCCAGCATTCACAGATTCAGTCAATTTTGTCCCCACTCTGTTCCAAAAGGAAACAGAAGTTACATCTGCAGGAGACACTTGAGGAAAATTTAAAAAAACCCAATTCACTAATTTTTTCACTTTTTTCTTAGAAAACGGTTTCTCTCCAATTTGCAAAATGCCAATCACTTGATTAAAAATCCCCCTTTGTGCTACAGACAGTCTTGCACCCATCTCTGTGATCTCACCTGTCCGTCGCAGCTATTTCACCAACGGCTCCAAACTGCTCTGCATCCAGAAGTTTCACCTGGGATGGGACTCTTCTCTCACCCACTCCCTCTTCACCACTTCCCCCCTTTGGGGAATTCAGTCTTCTGAATGCTCCTGCCGTTGTCTCGCTCTCAAAAGCAGCCCCTCGGTGCACAGGGGTTCTTGCTTTTCTCCCCAACACGTCTTCCACTTAGAACAGCGAAGAGACGCTTCTGGGGTAGATGTCGTCCCAGCGGTGGTCAGAATCTCACCTTCCGTGGTTCTTCTGTCCCCTTTGTTGAGGGACAGGCCAGCCTCACGTTCTGGGCGTCATCTGACTCGATCTTCTTGAGTGTGGCCCGGCTAGCTCAGTGATGAGGTTTCTCTTCACTCGAGTTTCGAGCCAGCATATGTTTGTGGGGTTCACTGATTTTCTTCAAGAATCCAAGTCTATAGAGCGAGTAAAGAAATCAGGGGGGGACTCTCTCTCTGGTTTGCATTCCAGAGTTTATTTCTGTGAAGGGAAATCCAAAGGACGAGAGACAAAGGATTTGGGGTCTGGGGGGGGTCTCTTTTAACAGGGTTTCTCGGAGGGAGGGAACATCAGAGAGGGAACCAATTATTTTTCTCAGTTAGTACATCTTACAAACTTTCTACAAATCAAGGTTACACACACCAAGATAAGAAATAACAGACACCAACTTCTTCAAATGCCCACAAAGATGTAGGAGTATTCTGTACAGAGGGGCAGAGGGGGAGAGAGGGGGGGCCTGGTTTCCTGGCAACACAGGGGGAAAGAAAGGGAAGGCAAGGTAGGCATGCCTTCTCAGCTTCCATAGCTCAGAGGCATTCTGGGACAGGAAAAAGTTACAAACTTCTGTGTCGGAAAGAAGGGTTCTCTTCTCTCAACCCCGTGCTTTCCTGGGCTAAAGAAACTTAAAGCAACTGGAAATGCCAGCGGGGGTCCTCTCTTTACTCTACCCGGCCTCTCGCCGTGGGGCTGAGGAGAGAAACTTCAGTAACCATGGTAACTTGACGCCAGGTAAACAGGAGAAAGAGAAGCTGGGGGGTGGGGGGAGAATCACAACTAAAAGATGGGAAAAGATACATTTCAGGCTATCAACTACAACAGGTCTCCAGTGCCATCCCTTCACTTGTCCCTTTGGCCACACCTGCGGCCTCTGTGACGGCACCTGCCCCTGCATTGTACGCCCAGGTTGCTGCACCGTATCCCTTGCCACCCGTTTCGTCACCTTTGACGGTGTCACCAGGGCCATCCTGGCCACTGGCATCTATGTGGTGGCCAACACGTGTGACCTCTGGGACCCTGCATGGCTCCAGCTCCTGGGGCACGTCAGGGACATTGGGGACTATCCGGCAGTGGTGACACATCACCTTTTCAGCCCCCACAGCCTCATCACCATGCAGAGGGACAGGAAGGCCTAAGTTGTCACCACCCTGGGTGGCACCCAAAAATGTTGTCACCACCATGTGTTGTTGACCTAAACATCCACTTGATCTTCATTCTAATAAAAAAAATCAGTATAATTCCCTAACTTCACACCAGGTAAGAGTCCACATGGGTTGTCCAACCCCACCAGCACCACAGGATGTTCTTACCTTAATTTTGCCCCACATTCCTCTATTCTGCTCCCAGTTTCCCACCAGTGAAGCTCCTGTGCGAGTGCTGGTCACTAAGAGACATCCATAAATTGACACACCCCATAATTTTGACCAAAATTTCTCTTTTTCCCCCCAAATTCACATCAGAGAAGCACCTACATGGGTTGTGCTTTATCCTACTCTCAGCATGCTTTGATGCATCCCATCATTTTTCCACAAACTCCCTTTTCCACCTAGATTCCTCCAACTACCCTTCACCCCTCTATCACCCCAAATCCCCTTTTTTATTCCCCTAATTTGATATTCTCCAGCTCAATGGGGTCCCCACACCCCTGCCCGTGGAGCTCCCGGGACCATTGACCATCACGGAGACACACATGACACTCTGGATCAGCTGAACCCTGGGATTTCTGGTGGAATAATGGAACTGGCTCTGCAGGGGTGACAGTGGAGGTGCCCAGGGAAGCGCGGGTGATGCTCTGTGGCCTCTGCAGCGACTACGACGGTGCCACCAGCAATGACCTGCAAGCACCTGACATGCAGGTGCTGGCCGAGGCCTGGCAGGCACGTGACTTCAGCCAGGTGCGTGACACCTGGGGGAGGGGAGATTGAGGTATTTGGGTGTCTTGGAGCTGGCACTAGGGGTAACAGTGCCAAAAAAGGGTGGAAAAATTGCCTAAAAAAGAGGAAAAGAGCCCCCAAAAGGAAAAGCTCCAGAAAATGGAAAAGAGACCAAAAAGGGGAAAAAGAGCTCCCCCAAAGGGAGAAAAGAGCCCCAAAAACATGGGAAAGGAGGTCAAAAAAGAGGAGAAAGAGTCAAAACTGGGGAAGGGACCCCAAAATGCAGGAAAAGAGACCAAAAAAAGGAGCAAGAGCACAGAGCAGGGAGAAACAACCCCAAAAGATGGGAAAAGAGTCACATAAATGAGGAAAGGAGCCTAAAGAGGAAAAGAATTGAAACAAGTGGAAAGAGATCAAAAAGGGAGAAAACGGGGGGAAAAAAGGTGGAAAAAAAACCCAAATGAGAATAAAAGTTCAAAGAGATGGGGAAAACACCAAAAATGGGGGAAAGGAATATTAAAAAGGGAGCAAGAGCACAGAAAATAGGGGGAAAGAGGCCAAAAAAGAGAGACACCAGAAACAGGGGAAAGAACCCCCCACAATGGGGGGAAAGCAAGTGGGAGAGAAGCACAAGAAAAGGGGGGAAAAGAGCCCAAAACAGGGGGAAAGGGAATAAAAAAGGGGGAAAGAGCCTCTCAAAATGGGGAAAGAGACCAACAAGAGAGGGGAAAGAGTTCAAAAATGGGCATAAGTCCAGAAAAGGGAGAAAAGACCCTAAAGTGAGGGAAACAGCCATGAAGTCCCCCATGATTTTGCCTTTCTTCCCACCCAGTGAGGTGGAAAATTGACATTTCATCTGGGTGGCCGCGCCTCACCGCTGACGTCATCCTCAAATGCCTCAGATCCGGAAAACCCGGATTTTTATAACCCCCAAAACTGTGCTTTCGCCCCCAAAATAAAACCTTTGAGAAAACCCCGTTTTCGGGTGCTTTGGGGATAAAATCCTGGGAATTCTGGGAAAGCAGGTGCGTGGTAATGTGCTGGGGGGCAGCTGGGGGACGAGGAGGGCTGTTCCCACCCTGTCCTGCCTCGGGCAGTTCCGTGTCCCCATTTCCCCCGCCCCCACCCACCCTCCCCCGCGTCGGTCAATATTTCCCAACGCCTGAGTCCCACGGGGAGGAGGGCGGGGGGGCACCAGGATGTTTGGTGCCGGGGAGGGGAGGGGGTTCCCGGACATCTGAGTCCACCAGGGGAGGTGTGTGCTACGGCACACTTGGAGGGGACCCCTCACCAGTATCCCCAGTTCCTTCCGGTAGGAGGAAGCCAGTAGCCACCCCCCCCCAATCCCCTCCAGTGTGCCCCCCGGTATCCCCAGTCTCTCCCAGTACAACACCTGCATAACCCTTCCAGTCTCCCTCAGCTGACCCCAGAGTAATCCCATTGTCCCCAGTCCCTCCCAGTGCGTTCCAGTCTTCCCCCACTATTACCCATGATGTTCCCAAATCCCTCACAGTTTGTTCCAGTCCCCCCCAGGCCCTCCTACTGCATCCCAGTGTCACTCAGTGTTCCCCCCCCAGTGCCCGTTTAAGCCTTGCAGTGTCCCCCTGGTGTCCCAGCATCCCCCAGTGCCTCCCAGTGTCCCTCCCCAGTGGCCCTTCAACATTCCCAGTTGTCTTCCAGTATGTTCCAGTAACCCCCAGTGCCTCCCAATGCATCCTAGTCACACTCAGTGTCCCCACAGTGTCCCCTCCTATCTTCCCAGTGTCCCCCAGCACATCCCAGCCCCCCAGTGTCCCCCCCTAGTCAATTCCAGTGCCCCCCAGATGCAGTCTGGGCAGAGACGGAACTGCCTGGGGCCCTGGGAGGTGCCACCTGGGGGTGTCCTATGTCATTCCCCCCCTCCCCCCCCAGGCTGTCCCCTCCCTGGGGATAAAGTGGCTCCAGTCACAGCACTGGGACAGACTGGGACCATGGGAGTGCAGTGAGTGGGGACATTGGTGGGAATGAGGGACATGGGGATATATGGGACATGGGGGCACATGTGGGACATGGTGGACATAGGGGAATATGGAGACCAGTATGTCCACATGTGGGAAATGGGTACATAGGCACCTGGGGGGACATGAGGGACATGGAGGGGGGACATGAAGGACATGGGGGAACATGGGGGGACAAGGGCTCATGGGACAGTCATTGGGGACATGCAGGATATTGGGGGAGACATGGAGGGCATGGGGGGATATGGGGACACTGGGGACATGGGCAAGATGGAGTGGTCAAAGGGTACATGGGGACATGGTTGATGGGGAGCCCCCTCACACTCCCCCAGGCCTGGACACACGAAGGTCCCCCCCATCCTCCTCCTCCTCCTCCTCAGCCACGCAGAGGAGTGGGGACCCCTGAGGACATCGGGGGCTCCTGTGGGACCCATAGGTGAGTTCGGTGTCCCAGGCTTACACTGGGGAGGTGCCAGGCCCATACTGGGAGGTTCTGGAGTGGGGGTCCTAGGCCCTAGTGGGAGGTCCCAGTTCCACACCAGGAGGTCTCAGGCCCATAGTGGGAGGTCCCATTCCCATACCAGGAGGTCTCAGGCCCATACTGGGAGGTCCCAGCTCCCAGTCCCCTACCAGCAGGCCCTATGCTCACACTGGGAGGTTCTGGGGTGACACTGGAGGTCCCTGACCCATATGGGAAATCCCAGGCCCATACTGGAAGGTCCCACCTCCATACTGGGAGGTCCCAGGTGCCACTAGGTGTGTCCCCCATGTAGGGTCCTGTGTGCCACTGGGTGTGTGTCCCAGGTGTGTGACAGGTGTGTGTCCCTAGGTGGGGTCCTGTACCCCTTTGGACCAGGAGTAGGGGATGAGGCCACCCACCATGAAGATGATGGGACGAGCCCTGAGATCTTCCTACAGGAAAACTTCTCCTTCTTTGGACGTGTCCACCGCTCACTCTATGTGGGTCATGTGACTGGGGGGACATGGGGGAGGTGACATTTGATGGGTGACACAGGTGGAGGGTGACACAAAATGTAGGGTGACAAGTTGGATGCAGCCACCAGAGTTGATGTCACCACTTCCTCCTCCTCATCCTTGACTACATCGGTGAGTGGGGACTCCTAGGGACATCAGGGATACCTGTGGGGGTCCCTGAGGACATTGAAGACACATGTGGGATCTTCAGGTGGTTTTGGAGTTCCAGGCCCATAGTTGTAGATTCTGGGGTGACACGGGGGCTCCCAGGCCCATACTGGGAGGTGCTGCGGTGACTGACTGGAAGTTGGGGGTCATCACAATTGAGGCCACCATGACAGGGGTCACCATAGTAGGGATTCCCCATGACTGGAGACACTGTACCTGGGACCACCATGGAGGGTCACTGTGGTTAGTGCCACCCAGGTGTGTCCCATGGGTGACCTTTGCCTGCAGGTGAACAACAATGGCGTGGTGTCCTTTGGGATGATGGTCCCAGAGTTCACCCCCCAGCCCTTCCCGCTGCCAGGCCACCGCCCCTTTGTGGCACCGTACTGGGCTGATGTGGACACCCGTCTGGGAGGGGACGTCTTCTACCGGCAGAGCCGGGACCCCCAACTGCTGGCACGCCTGGCCCAGGACCTGGCACCTGCTGTGTCACCTGGGGACCCACCCCCACAGCCTACCTGGGCATTTGTGGCCACCTGGGACCGTGTGGCCTATTTTGGAGCTGCCTCGGACAAGGTGGGACATGGGACAAAGTGACCTTCAACCATGATGTCCCTAACCATGGTGTCACCAAAGGTTTGGGGACACAGGGATGGAAACATAGCTGGGGGTCGTCATGGTGACATGCTGACAATATCCCCCGGCAGGTGAACACTTTCCAGGCTGTGCTGGCCTCCGATGGTGTCACCTGTTTTGTCCTGCTCAACTATGGAGACTTGCAGTGGACAACTGGCATTGCTAATCAGGGGGATCCCCACACTGGCCTGGGGGGCATCCCTGCACAGGTGGAGACACAGAGAGGGGCACTGGGCACGGGGTCATCCCTTTACAGTTGAGGACAGTCCAAGGGATGGGGGACGCTGGGCTAGGAGGGATTCTGGGCTTGAGGGGGGTAAAGCATTTTGGGATGGAATTAAAGGGATTTGGGTGGAATTAAAGGGATTTGGGGTGAAATTAGAGGGATTTAAAGTAGGATTTAAGGGAATTTGGGGTAGAATTAAGGGGATTTGTGGCAAAAGCAGGTAGATTTTATCTGAAATCAGGGGAATTTTAGGCGGAATTAAGTGGATTTGGGGTGAAATGAAACACATTTTGAGTAAAATTCAATGGGAATTTGGGCAGAATTTACCCCTCACCTTCTCCTCCTGTCCCCCTGTTCCCCTCCCTTCATGTCGCACCCTGTTCCCCCATCTTCCCCCCTGCAGGCTGGGTTCAACGCTGGGGACGATGTCCACTACTACAATGTCCCGGGGTCACGGACACCCACAGTGCAGAGCCTCAGCCACCGCAGCAACCTGGGAGTCCCAGGGCGCTGGGCTTTCCGTGTTGACCACTTTAAGGCCACTGAAGAACCCCCTGAGACGCCTGGCACCCTGTCAAAGACATCTCAGGCCCCCTGGAGTCCCTTGGCACCCCACAAGACCCCTTTAGTATCCCCCAACCCCCTCAGGACCACAGAGGAGCAGGTGTATGTCTGTGGGTTGTGAGCAGGTGACACCTGGGACATTTGAGGTGGGGGGGGTTGCCTAACAGCCCTCACCCCACCCTCACAGAAGGATTTTCCCCCACAGAGGCTGCATTTCATGATGGAAATAGCAATAAACATCTGTTGAGCAAGACCTGTGTCAGGTGTGTGTACACAGATGCATGTGAGCAGTAACATAGGTGTCATGTGTGAAATGTGTCCCCATCCCCGCCTGTTCCCATGAAGGCGACAGAATCAGCTGAGGAGGGAAATTGTCAGTGAGGGGTGACAACATCTAGGTTGTATATGGGTGTGACAGACACACACCTGAGTCACACAGAGGTGTGACATAGATACACCTGGGTAACATATTTTGCCAGATGCACTGCACCTGGACAGCACCCAGTTTAGACACTCCTACATGGTGTTATCTGGACAACACCTGAGTTCCACACAGGTGTGGATCCACCTGGATAACACCTGCTGCAATACAGCACTCCACCTGGACAACATCTGGGTTGCACAGACATGTACCATCACCTGGACACCACCAGCCCAGCCAAGGGACCCAACACTGAAATCGAGGGCAGAGGAAAGGGTTTGGGTTACAGTTAGGGTTAGAGGTTACAGTTAGGGTTAGAGGTTACAGTTAGGGGTTAGTGATTAGGGCTGTGGTTTGGTTAGGAGTAGGGTTAGTACTAGGACTTACAGCTTGGGTAGGTTAGATTTAGATTAGAGGTTATTGTTAGGGTCAGAGGTGTAAGAGCCTGACAGAGATGGGAACTTCAGACGGCTCTTCTTTAAAATGCTGTTTATTCCAAAGACTAAGTTACAGCAGGGGGTTGTGGGTCGTCCTACAGCTGCTGGCTATAGGCAAGCCATGTGTCCTGAAGCCCCTTTATTTCTAGTTACGCTGCATTATATATTTTTCTTTGCTAAGCATCTTAATGCATGACAACCAATCAGCATCATACACAATACCTTTACATTTACATATAACCTATCAAAACTACTAAAATTACCATATTATGTAAGTGACCAATCATTTGAGTTAGTAGTTACATGTTAACCTTTGAAACTTATTTTGCAGTGGAAAATTCTTCTTGCTTTGGTAAAAAAACCTTTCTGTCTGCCTATGCTTTTTTACTTGGTAGAAAACATGCTTTGTTTGAAGACCACTTAACCTGTTGGACCTTAGCCATAAAACCTCCTTCCAACTCGACTAAAGCTTTGTTCTCTCAGCTGTTTCAGCAACAACTGGCCCTAAAAACATCTTTTCTATATCAAAGCTTGCTTTCATTTCTAGAGAACCTTCTGCTAAGCATTCATACCTGTAAAATTTTTCTGTTAAATTCTCATTCTTCCCAACAAGAGGTTAGGGATACTTTTATTAAATAGCTGTAAGCTTTTATTTAATATTGGAGTGGTGTAATTTTACTTTATTAATATTTGTAGTTATCCTTTTTACACAGCACTGTCCTTTCTTACAGATCTCTGGTGAAGACAATGGGATCAGGGTTTACTTTCTAAAATAGTTACACTTCCAAAGATGTGTTCATTAACTGACACCAAGATCATTTAGGAACAGCTTATCATTGGGTAGCAATGGGGACCAAAGCGACATGGACGCCCTTATGCATTCGAAGAAGATTGCTTTACTGCAGAAATTTCCCCTTTTTATAGCTTTAACCTCTACCCAACATAATTGAAACCAAACCGAAGCTTAACAGAACTTAACAGAAAGAAGGCACCCATTGGCTGGCCCAGCTGCAGTGCTGCGGTCCATGCATCTTATCACCCAATCAGCTTCCCGCTCATACACTGTCCGGGTATCCTATCACCCAATCAGCTTCCTGCTCGTATGCTGTCCATGCATTCCTCCAGCCAATCACAATCTCACTTTCATCTCTCACTTAACTGACTCTCTCCTCACTCCTAACTGCCTTTCACCCCTCAGCTTACTGCCAACTGTTGGGTCCGCAGCTGTGCCTTCCCATAGGGCCTTCTGGTGAGTATAGGCCTTAACAACTTTAACAAATGTAGCCCCAAATTCTACAGCTCCCCCCTGCTTTTTTTTTTAAGCAACAAAAACCTACTTAGAAAAACCTAAAAAAATCCTAAAACATCAATAACAGTGACAACAGTAATAACTATAACAACTTTTCAAAAACTGTAACATTTGCCTATAGCATAGCAACTATATACACATGATCCCAATACACATAGGATCAGGATTGTTATAGATATATTATATTATATATATGTATAAATATTATATTATATTATATTATATTATATTATATTATATTATATTATAGTCCTAGTTAATTATATTATATTACATTACATTACATTGCATTACATTACATTATATTCTTTTCGCAAATATTAAAATGAATGCTATATGAATAATGTTGGAAAACTTTGCTGTATTAATATAATATCTTTTATTTCTGCTATTGATGAAACTTAGAAATAGTGGTGTAATGCATATATATTTCTTAGGCTGTAGCATAGTATTAAAATAAAGACTGCTTTTGCTCATATAACCCAGAGAATGAAAAGATAGTCAGAAAACTCCCCCTGCATTCCCAAATTATCTTACCCAGATGAAGACAGCAGTGACCTGAGCTCCAAGGGGGGAATTTATTGAACCTCTGTTACTGGGGAGTGTGAGACTGCATAAGAATCTATGAATATGCAAGAGATAGGTGTTTTTAAGGGAGAATCCTTTGTTAGTAAGGTGTGCTCTTGGCTGAATGCTGAGGCACCTGGCTGTATTTTCATTTCATTAATTTTGCTTTATTTTATTTTCTTTGCTGTTCATTTTGCTTTATTTCTGTCTCCCAATTGTATTTTTATAAAACTTTTTAAATTATACCAAAAAGGTGAATCTCACTTTTCACACGATGGTGTGACAAAAGGTGGCACACACCATGAAGGAACCCACTCCACATTGTGGCCTGTGGAGATGTAGGCATGACCCCCCATGTTAATAAGTCCAGGGGTCCTTTCCATTGCCCAGTTAGTAAGTCCTTCACCATTACTGGAAGTCTTAGTATTCCTTTGTGTCAACGGAATACTGCCTCTTGCATGTAATCTGTCCAATCTTGTCCTGATTTAAAAAATTGAGGACATACAGGGCTTTAGCTAGTCAGTCGTGAGGGCACCCCAACTCCCCCTTCTTTTGTTTTTCAAGCACAGTCCTTAGGGTTCTATGGGCACACTCGACAATAGCTTTTCCTGTGGGAGAGTGGGGAATGCCCATATTGTGAGACACACCCCATTGCTGCAAGAAGTTACTAACTCACTCTGAGGTGTAGGCAAGTCCATTTTCTGTTTTGATGGTGTTGGGAATGCCCAGAGTGGTAAAACAGGAGGCCCAATGCCAGATAGCATCACGGACCTTTTCTCTGGTCTGGGAAGTTGCCATTAGAAAGTGAGAATAGGTGTCTATGGTAAAGTCAGAAAGTATTTTGGACTTGATTAGCATAAGAGATTTGATAGTCAGGATGTCTTGGTAAAAACAAACAGAGCTTTGAAGATTGCAAGGAGATTGAATCAACCTGGTGACAGGAAAGAAGACTGAATCAAGTGAAACAGAGAAATTAAGAATTAGAAAGAAATGCTTGACTAAAAGGGGAGTTTGACAAAAACCATACCCTGACACCCTGATCCACAAGAACAGGAAAAGGGTCAGACTGCAAGAGAAGATAAGGAGCTAGACTACACAAACAAGATGCAAAGACAAAGGCACCACAGGGTAAAGGGGATTCCTCGGACCCTAAGCCAGAAGGAATGAATTTAAAGTCCCAAAAAGTGGCCAAAGGACTGAAAGGGGCATGAAACCAATTGTAATATGAAGTGAAGACAGGCGGGGTTAAGAAATGAATATGGATTAGGCGTATTGTGTAAACCTAGTCTGTAAAAGATAGAAAGGGAAAACCAAATCAAAAAAGGTGTGCATGCTTTTCGGAGGAGATATCCCCCATGCACCTCAGTGCTGAATAAATTCATACCTACTCTTATAACTACTCTGCGAGTTATAGAGTCCTTCTATCTGCATATCATTTTGGTGAGCCAGGCAGGAGGGTCTCTCTTTGGCTGCGGGAGCAGCCGAGGAACAGATTCCCAGGACTTTCCCGGGAGGGACCCCGAGCCTCGGTTCGCTCACCGCGGGGACAGACAACAACCTGCCGGCCTGCGGATAAAGGTATGAATTAAATATCAAGGGAAGGGCTGCCGGTAAAGCGAGCAGAGATGTCTGTCGTACGGCACAGTCCCTGTGGGCTTGCAAGCACCCGGCCAGGAGGGGCCGAGGACAGAGGGAAAGGGATCGATCCTGGCCGATAGTGCAGCCGACAAGGAGGGGTTCTCGCTGAGCTGATAGATCAGCCCGCTAGCGACTCTGGGGGTGAGTTGAGAGAATCCTTGTTTTGTGTGAATGCGAAGTCCGGACACGTTGAGTCACTGAGTGTGTTTGGTGTGTGAATGAGCGAGTGAGACGCACCAGAGGTGCAGAGCGAGTGTGGAGCTCTATCCGCAGTTCCGACCTCGGGCGACTGAGGCGGCTGGAGAAAAGCAAAGTGACTGGAGTCAGTGTGGGGCAAGCCCTAGTGTAAATGAGGAGTGTTGTGTTTAAGTGTGGAGTGGTTAATATTTGTTTTAACCATGGGTAGACGATAGTATTTTTGCTTTAATAACCATTGGGGCATATGCTTCACGTGCAAAGTGAAAAGTCTGAAGTTTGTGTGTGGAAAGTCACATTGGGTGCCCACTAATTGCAATTGTGTGTGAGAAGAATACTGGGAAGAGACAGTGGAATTGTGTGAGGAAAAGTTTGGGTGGAAACAGGTCAGGACAAGAAGGAGGAAATAATGGGCGCTGGACAAAGTAAAGAAATCCCTAAAGCAAGTCCGCTAGGTTGTATTCTTGCACATTAAAAAAATACTGCTAGACGTGAAGGAACTGAGAGCAAGAGGGAGTTAATCAGATTCTGTAAGGACTGGTGGCCACTATATA